TATATATATATACACACACGCAGGTGAAACTCGAATAATTAGAATATCGTGCAAAGTTCATTTATTTCACTAATGCACCTTAAAAGGTGAAACTAATATATGAGATAGACTCATTACATAATTCAAGCCGTGATTTGTCATTGGGATGATTATGGCTTACAGCTCATGAAAACCCCCACTTACTGCAATTACTTTTGCACGATATTCTAATCGAGTTTCACCTGTGTATATATGTATATATGTATGTATGTATATATGTATATTTCCACAAGCCACAATTTTTTGTGTGTATTAAAATAATATGGTCTACACTGTAAATGCAAAAAAATAATATATAAATGCAAAGAAATTAAATGTAAATCATTTTTTGTTTTGAGTGTGTATGAAAATAATATGGTTTTATAGGCTTGTGGAAATTATATAAAATGTGAAGTTGATAATTTATTTAAAAGGGTACATAATATAAAGTAAGTTAAAACACCATGCCATAACGCCTCAAAAGTTCTCACCTTTTGTATAGTGCTAATCATAATTTCGTTTTGATCTGAAAAATAAAGTTGTGGTAAAGCAGATAGTCTTCTGTAAGCCGGACCCTTCCATTGGTGCATACCTCCAGTGGCTGGAAAAATCAAAATTCATTTTCAGTACTGTTTGGACTACTTTTGGCTGTCTTAACAGCTGCCCCTTTTTTGACAACGATACCACAAGAACCTTGTAGAGTCCCACTGTGAAAGCCTACCACTGAGAGGTCAGTGTAGTGCCCCATTGACTATGATAGATGAACCCATGCTACATTAGAGTTCAACTCCGTATTCTATACTCTACCACTGAACTGGTGCATTTTACCATGTATAGAAGAGGTATCCTATGTTGTCTGCTGTTCTACCCCTTACTGGCAAGTGTGTAATGTGGTGACGACTATTTGTTATATCTGGCAATTTTATTTATTTTTTTGGGGGTCGTTCTGGCCTGGGCCAGCTTACATATTTCAAGTTCATCTACCGACACTGGATGTTTGGGTGCAGTGGCTTTTTCGTGTTCTTATTCACGTATTGTACACTTTGGCTGCTTCCTTTTGAAGAGTTGAACAACTCTGTAACTGGAAGCTCTCGACCTGGAAAATCATACCTTATAAGTCTTAAAGGAGAACTATGAGGTGAGTGCTTTTCACTCACCTCATAGTTCTAGCCGACCTGTGACAATGAGACTCTCACAGGTCGGCTCAGTAGATCGGGAGGAGAGCGAACACATCCCGGCGTTCGCTCCCCTCTCGATCCTGTCACGGCTCTCTGCTGTGACAGGGGAGGGGCTGGATTCCCCCCTCCCCGCTCCGATCCTCCAGCGCTGACTGGCGTAACGGACGGGGGGGGGGGCGGTTACAGCTGGCTCTGCCTCTAGATAGGCAGAGCCAGCTGTCAGTCACGCAGCTGGGCGGATCCCGGCACAATTGTCGGGATCCGCTTCAGCTGCGGCATCTCAGTATACCGCGAGCTACAGCTTGCGGTATACTGAGCTTAGGGTGACGGGGGTACGCTAGTTTGTGTCCTCCCGTTACCCTAAGGAGAACTATGGGGAAAAGCCTTAACCCCATAGTTATCCTTTAAGGCACACTTTAGACATGTTCATATTTGAAGCAATGAAGAAATGGCTGCCCCCCCGTATGTTACATAGTATTTGAGGTTGAATAAAGACGCAGGTCCATCAAGTTCAACCTTTGT